TTACATTTGTGGCTACCCATATAAATGAGTTTGATGCGTTAGTTAACATACTGGTTGCTGTTGATTTAAAGTTTACTAATGAACTTAATGTTATTCTATTGTTGAGATCCTTATCTAACAGTTGAAAACCTATGAAGACGACTATTTCAAATTCTTGTAGAAAATAGAAATTGAAATTCGAAGATATTAGAGTGCACTTCTTGAAAGGAGATTCGAGGAAAGGATTCAGGTATTGCATCTTCTTCTATTACAACATTGAATGTGGACAGAGGAAGAAATAATAACAAAGACTATAGAAAACGTGGAAAGTCAAAAAACAATAGAAGCAAGTCTAGAAACACCATGCCAGAATGTTGGAATTATGGTAAGACAAGACATCGGAGGAGAAACTGCAAAGCCCCAAAGAGAGATGATGGGAAAGAAACTGGTACAAATATTGTTGCTAAAGAAATACATGATACTCTAGTTCTTGCAGTGGAAAGCACTCATGACACATGATTAATTAGGGATGTACATTGATCGGTCGAGTCGAATTTTAGGCCAAAACCCCTACCTACCGACCTATTTTACTTCTTTCTCGCCAATCGGAAGCATCTATCAATTTTGGTCGGTTAACCGACTTTTTTTACCTCTATTGAAACATGAGTTCTCAAGATCTAAAAAGAAAAAAGAAAAAAAAATCAAGTGAAAGTGTTAGATGGTGAAGAATCAATTTGCAACCTTAGCTTTAAAAAGCCGAAAAGCACTGAAGTACCCCCTATCTAGTAAGGTTTGTGCTTAATTCATTCTTTTTTGATAACGAAATACATCATYCATAAACGAGCTTAGAACTAACCCCCTATAAATTAGTTCTAAGAAAGGAATGCGATAACCAGAGATAGAAGGCACGAGGTGAATAAGAACACCTTAGATCTCAAAGGAAAGAAACTAATTCATATACCTAAAATCTCATATCTTGGAGATAGAAGGGCATGCATGAAGAAATGCCTGAGAGAAGGTGGTACGAAAAAGTTGAGACAAGGATTTGAGAAGAAAGGTTATTGGCATCAGCAACAGCATTGAAAGACCAAGATTGTGAAGGGGAAAGAGATGGGTTAGAGTGAGAGAGTGGGAGAGATGGATAAAATATGGGGTGAGAGTGAGAGAGGGCAGAAGAGAGAGTGCGGGATGGTGCGACAGATCGAAAAACTCACTAATTTAATTAAAATCAAATTTCTCAAATTAGTTTTACTAATGTACCAAATTTCCTATTAAATAATTATGTCAAAACTTACGGATCTAAGTTAAAAAATCAATATAATGTTGTTATTGTTTAAATCATATCAATATGTGTTTTTTAACTCATTTGACACATACGAGATTATTTTTTTCCAAAATATTTTCAAATGAAAATTTATCTAACTTGTAAAATTTGTGATACGAAGATTGCAACATTTATTTAATTGTAATGCATAAATGGATACAAATCACCAAAATTACATGTATTTATGTCCATATTTCCGCCAGTGTCATGTTCACTCACTCATTTGTGGGTGAAGACTATTGTGAAATAGTAGAAAATTGAGCATATGTTGACAAAGAATTTGAAGAGTGTTGGTCGAGAGAGAGAGGGAAAAAAAAAGAATAATGGAAGAAGGAAAAAATAAATAAATCAAAAAATCAAAGAAGAATCCGAAAATGGTAAACATAAAAGGAAATTTTGCAATTTTCCATGATTAAGCATGATCATATAGAGAAATATTAAAATTTCCTAAATATATTTATTAACTACCTTAAATGAAATATAAAGAAAGTAGAAAAATAAACATAAAAATTAGATTAATAAATAAGAAGGGACGAAATAAAGGGAGAATATTTAGGAATGAAAATCAATTCATTAAATCTGAAAATTTAATTTGACTATTTTGACAAAAGATGAACATTTCTAAAATAAATAA